ATAATGTACTATAATAGACTATAATGTATACTAAAAGCGTACTATACTGTACTATAATGTCTACAAGCTCACCTTGCCTCTCTGAGAAACTGCGGGTTCACCGCCTGGCAAGTGGCCAAAGACTTGGCAAGCAAAGGCTTAGCTGAGATTCCATCCTCTTTTGTTGCGATGATTTCAGTACGGCATCCACTTCTTGAAGTATACCAGAGTCTACTGTACTATATGATACCATATTGTGCTATAATGTACTACAGTATATTATGATCTACCATTATCATGTGCCCCTAGACCCGAAACCCTAAAACCTACTTCACAGCTTTGTGGTTTCGGGATCTTGGTGAAGGAAGGCTGAAGCTGGACTGCTTCTCGGGGTTTCGCCCAAAAAAGGAAGTGGGGCCAAACACTCATGCTACCTATATTACAATGTGCCATAATATACGATAATATACGACAGTATAATATTGTGTACTAAAATCTATGACCATAAGGGCCTATCGGATATTACACTGGCGAGAACTTGGGTTTCGCACAGTACAGAAGAGCTCATAGACTCGAGTAGTTTGCGGTGATCGTGCGATTGAGAGAAGTTAGCAACCCTGATACTGCTCGACAGCGAACACCAGTCTGAATCAAGACCTCATATAAGCTATAGTCTAAACTCCTAGTATCCCCCTTAGTAACCCTTATAATACTCCCTTATATAATCCCATAGACAACCCCCTACATAACCCCCTTTATGGAGTTTAGACGCCTCCCCGTGCAGAAGTTCAGGAAACGAAAACACCAACATCGTGAGCCGATTGGTGCTAGTTCTCCTTTTTCTCTCATTGTTCATGAATGAACATGGGGAGCGCTGCACTTGCCACAACCTCATTACGCGAAGGAGCAGCGAGACACTAGACAAAATGTTGGAAGAGCAGTAGGCAACCTCCAAGCATGCTTAAATGTCTGTGTCTGCCGCTTCCTGGCAAGGGGTTCTGAGGGAACACATGGAAGACAAAGCCGGACTTACGGCCATCTTCAACTGGAGAGATAAGCTTTCGCAGCTGCCCCTGTACAGTCTGATTATCCTTGGTACCATTTCTAGGATCGCTCAATCGACGAGGCAGTGCCACTTTGGACACGTTCTCTGTGATGGCAGGGGTCTTCTTGATGACGTGTTCATTTGCACCACGCATGATAATGCGCCCCACTGACTCCATGTACTGCGCCAGTCTTATCCTGTCATCAAACATCCTGAAGTCCACATAAGAAGAGGCAATGCGCTTTGCCAGCATGGAATCTTGAATTCGGTGATCTAGCTCCCAAGCTGCAGAACTCAAGGCACTGCAGTGGTCCCAGAGCTCGTTGTTCGAGCTCTCCTCAATTCTGAGCAGCAGGACTCTTGAGTGGTCTTCTGAAAGCAAGACCTGATGATGCCAGTGAGGCTGGCATGAGAAGCACAGCATTCCTGCAACATACTCCAAGAGCGTGTCAAAGCACACGCCATACGTTGCGACCACATTCCTGATACTCCGCAGCGCTGCGTCAAAGAGTGAGCGTTGGATGGGGGACGAATCATGATAGCCCTTGCTGATGGCAAAGTCTTCCATCTGCGATCGGAAGTACTCCAAATGTGCCTCCTTGTTCTTCCAGTGGCTCTTCCAAAGCTGGTATGCCTTTCTTTGCTCATCCTCAAAAGAGACTGTGCAGCATGCCGGCTTGAGATTCCAGAATGGACAAAGGTTTAGGGAGTTCTGCGACGTTGGCCTGCTGGCAAGGTGTCGTATGTCACTTTTTCCGGCCCAATGCGGTTGAAACAATGGGTTGAAACAGTCACCCTCGCTGCTCACTGGCCCTGCTTGGCCTCTGCAGATCCATCCACAAATTGCTACGTAGAGAAGGCACAGGTGCATTTGGTCCGCAGGACACTCGACGTGCTACCCTATCAAAGACGCTGTCATGGCAGCCACATTACTTGTTGATGAGTCAAGACTCAAGTACTCTAAAGCTTACACAGTACGATCAAGCTGATGCTGGGATCATTTACGACGATAATCACCATGGATGCCGTTTTCTTCTTACGAGGTTTTTGCCCTTACTGGGTTCTGACAATGGCCACGCGCAGGCACAGAGGTTATCAGCAAACCATGGCAAAGCAAGAAGAGCACAGCCGTGAAGAAAATGAAAAGAATCACAAGTGCATCTCCGAGGAGATGCAAGCACAGCTCTTTACTGATGTCTAGCAGCGCGTTCTTTGCCAGAAACAGCCGGTGTGACCAGCTCACGTCGCAAGCGCCTGCCCAACTTTTGTGGCTGAGCATAGCTGAGCACGCCCTGCCGTTGTAAGGTTACAAACGGGCTGCAACACTAACCTTGCACACCCCCGGCCTATTGAGCAGCTGCGTCGGCGCCGCAGGTGACGAGACCGAAAGCAGGCCAAAGTGAACCCAGTCCTGAAGCAATGCGCGTCACTCAGCCGCGGCCCGATCCCTACGGCTTTTCACCCGCACATGCCTTTTAGCTACATACTTCCTGGCAAGACACATTCCAAAGACCTTTGTACAGAGAACATTACGCAAACACCAAGGAAGTTCCCAAAATTAAGGGGTACCCTTTGGGGAGTCACAACAATAAGGATCATAGTATTGTGCGGTCTATATTGGGTCCCCCTATTTTGGGGAATTACCTTATGTGCGTTACATGCAAAGGGAGAAAGTGGCATCTAGGGCATTCTGGATTTGCCTCTGAGCGGATTCCTTCCTTTCGCACAGCTGCTTGATGAAAGCAGCCTCATCTGCGCATGGTTGCATGGCTGCTGCTAATATTACGATTATTACTATTAGTACTATTATTACTATTATTACTATTGTTACTGTTATTGCTATTACTACAATCATCTAGTATCACGATTATTACATTCACTACTATTTCGAATATTACTATTACGACAATTTTTGTATTATTACTAGTATTACGATTATTACTAGTATTACTATTATACTAGTATTACTAACCTGAAGCCTGGCAGGGGTGGAGGACTGCTGATGACTGGGAAACTCCTGAAGCTCATGCAGGAAAGCTGTGGCGGGGAACCCCACGCAAAGCCTGCAACCCTAAACCTAGCAAACAAATACTGCAGTTCGTGATCAAATCCTAAACATATTAAATAGGCACAACCCCTTAAAGTCTTTACCCCTGAAGCTCTCCAAACCTACAACAGCCAGAGCCTGTATGCCTGCAGAACCCGTAACTTTCCCGAAGTCTCCAACCTATCAACGCCCCTGTGCCCTCCACCCTGTAACCTTGGAAGCGGCAGAGGTTTAGAGCTCCGGGTCTAGAGTTTAGGGCCTATCAAAGGCCATTGCTCTTGGGGCCCCTGCGTCTCGCACTCTCCCGAAGAAGATCCTGGAAGTCTGCAGGGACCTGGGCGTTGTCGTCAATATGGCTGAATTATAGTCGGGTTTAGGGGTTTAGGGTTTAGGGCTTGGGGCTTGGGGCTTTCCGGGCCGTGGATCTTATGTGAAACGGAGAGGCCCTCTGAAGCCCCAGCTTCGCCCATGCGCTTTGCCCGAGCGCTCACAAAGGAGATCAAGTCTGATTCTGTCACCCACCTGCGCAAGGGAATCGTGCTTTAAAAAGATGGTTCCATGATGAATTGATGGTGCCTGCGGTTGTGCAAGTTCACGTCGGCAAATTGCTTGCGGAGGAAGGAATAGATGCATGGCACCTCCACATCTTGCAGCCATACAAGCGATTTCTATTGGATGGGCTGTACCCTAGGCTGCTTGAAATAGAGACAAGTCTCGCCATGGCAGTTTGCAACTAAATTTAGGAGGCCATGCATGCAAAAGTTGAAACGCGGAGGGTCCACAGGACCCTGACACTTGCGACCAGCTGTCCGAAGCAACGAATAGTTCGAGGTAGCTTGCTTGTCTTACCTCTGGTTAGCAGGGAATGGAAAATTCTACCGTATTGGGGGTCATATAGGGACTACTAGGAGGATCCATTTCACCATTCCATGGATACCAGCGGTAACTTTTGCTTTAACCTGCCTCTCCTGTGTGGTGCTTCTCGGCAGCAGCCGCTTTGCTCCCTGGTTGCACCTCCTGCCATCATCTGAACCGTGCCAGAAAGCACTGATGCAAGTTGAGGCATTTAGAGCGGCGCTAGGACGGCTGGACAGCCGAAATCTCTACACTTACAGGACCTGCAACATGCAGACGGCGAGTAAAAAGGGGAGACGGACCTGTGGTCAAGCATGAGACCTGGTCTATCTGAATGCGATGCTAATAGCTGAAGTCTGGGCAGTTGCAATGACTAGCAGGGAAGCCCTGATAGTCCCTTCCACCGTGTTGCATGCCAGCACCAGTGCAAGGCATTCTCTACATATTCAGGACTGATCCAACATCTTGCACCCTTGAGGCTACCTACTAAGAATGCTTTAGAACAAACAGTGCTGCGTTTACCTGCACCAGCCAAAACCACTACGCCGTGGTACACCAACACCAGAATCACCCTAGAACTGAAAAGACTCACGGAGAAAAAACAAAGACGCGCACACCAGATCAACTAAGTCAATCCCCAACGTGTCAAACAAGCTTTGGAAAACAACTATCATTCCTATGATTGCTCTTATTACTATCATTACTACTAAAATTACTACTGTTGCCATTGTTGCTCTTAGTACTTTTGCTGCTATTACTGTCATTATTACTGTAGACCCATGGTTCATCCCTAAACCCTACGTAAACCCTACACCCTAAACCCCAAACCCCAAACCCTAAACTCTGAACCCTAAACCCTAAACCCCAAAGCCTTAAACCTAAACTCTAAACACCAAACCCTAGACCTTAAACCCCAAACCCTAAAACCTGAACCCCAAACCCTAAACTCATTTCCACTGGTCCAAAGCGGCCTCGGCAAGCCACGGAGGCGGAGGCCTACCATCATCAGCCTGGCAACAGGCACAACAGGGTGGGTTACATAGGGTTTAGGGTCTATTTACAGTGGAATATATTAGGGTTATATAGGGTTTAGGGTCTATTTAGGGTGGAATATATTAGGGTTACATAGGGGTTTAGGGTTTAGGGTCTATTTAGGGTGGAATATATTAGGGTTATATAGAGTTTAGGGTTTAGTTTAGGGTGGAATATATCAGGGATTATATGAAGGCTATATATGGACTGTTTAGAGGGATTATATAGGGACTGTTTAGGGATTATATAGGGACTATTTAGGGTTATATAGGGATAATGGATAGAATGGAAACTACTCTTTAGGGTGGAATATATTGGGGTTTTATGAGGGCTCTATAAGGACTATTTAGGGGTTATATAGGGAATATAAAGGGGTTCTATAGGGGATATAGGGATTATATAGGGACTATTTAGGGGTTATATAGGGATAGTGGAAAATGGAAACTACTCTTTAGGGTGGAATATATTAGGGTTGTATGAGGGCTTTATAGGGACTATTTAGGGATTGTATAGGGATTATAAAGGGGATAGGGGATGTAGGGATTATACAGCGACTATTTAGGGGTTATATAGGGATAATGGAAAAGGGAATGGAAACTACTATTCGGGGGTACCCCTTAAAGGGGCTTATTGGGGTTATATAGGGTTAATGGAACAGGAAATAGTAGCTACAGGAATTATAGGGTCAGGAATTATAGGGTTATGTAGGGTTTAGGGTTTAGGGTTGGGGTTATGTAGGGGTAACGGACTACTCTATGCTGATAGGGTATATGTTGCGATGATACATTCATCTGGGTTGCTGTCAAGGAACTTAAACTAAGTGACCATAATAAGGGTGTATATAGGGTTAGGGCTTAAGTTAACATAATAGGGGTACATAGTTTTTAAAAAAAAGACGAAAAATTGCCCTTCTTATAGTAACTTAGGTTGGCCCCTAAAACCCATTGAAAAATATTAGTATATAGGGCCTTATTAAAGCCATTAGGGAAAATATTAAATATCCCAGAGACCTACCCAGTAACTTGGTTTAAAATCCTTAACAGTCACCCAGCTGATAGGAGATCAAGGGTCGCAGGGTTCAGGGTTTAGGGTCTAGGGTTAAGGGGTTAGGGGTTTAAGGGTTTAGGGTTTAGGGCTTAGGGTTTAGGGGTTTAAGGGTTTAGGGTTTAGGGGTTTAGGGTTTGGGGGAACGGCTAAACCTTCTGGGTTTGGGGATCCTTTGCAGAAATTTCTGGAAGAATGTGGGGTCCATAACGATCCAGGTAAGGATCTGAATTATGAAGGCCATGTAGCGGGACCGTTTAGGGGTAGTTAAATAACCTCGAGGAACAAGCCTGGAACCGTTAAGGAAGGGAAAGCAGGCGGGTTGCATGAAATGCTTTTGCGGCTCGTTAATCCTATTATTATTGTTATCACTGTGATTACTGTCATTCGTCAAATTATGACAATTGCTACTATTCTTACAAGTATTGCCATTATTACCAGCATCCCTCTTGTGACTATGATTATTATTACATTACTACCATTACTACTATGAACATCATTCTTGCTAGGCCAAAGCACTTCAGCTCAGATCCACTGACCACATCGCACGAAGGATGCTTCGTGGCTACTGTGCGCGAAATGCAGAAAACCCCTAAACCCCAGGGTGCTTGGGATCTGGTACTACTAGTTGAAGAACAAGGTTTGGGTAAGTATATGGTTGTTGAGTACTTGGACCCTTTAGGGTAACATGTAAACCTCACTAAGAGTACCTAGGAGCTTTGTGAATCGATCTCTTGCAAACGGAGGATTTTGCTAACACGCAAAAAGTAACTGACTGACGGCTAGAAGGGAATAAGGGAATATTAGATTCCCTATAATCAGAACATGATCCCTTATTCCTTGCTAACCCCCAGTAAGGCAAGTACCTCGTTTGAAGCCACACATCTTGCAATAAGAAGTCAAAGCTAGTCCGTACTCAAGCTCACACCTTCAGCGTGGCCCATGTCAGAAACATGTTCCTAACTTTTTGAGCTATAGTCTAAACTCCAAATATCCCCCTTGATAACTCCCATAATACTCCCCCTATAAAAGAATCCCCTCTACTAAGGTTAGATATCCTTCCACTTCTCCTTCTCAACAAGTACATGGGAGTTTCCCTAAATTACTGTTCCCAGAATGGAGAAATTTATATAGGGCCCCGTATTATAATAGGAACCTGAATATAAGACCCCGAATTGACAGTAATTTAGGACAATCCCCACATGAAAACTTCTCCTTCTCATCCTAAACCCTAAACCCTATACCCTAAACCCTAAACCATGCGAAATGGCAGGCCTGCTCACGGGCGATGGATCGGATGGCCGGAATGGTCACGTCCTTGAACTTGGTTCCTGCCTGCTGGGTTTAGGGTTTAGGGTTTAGGGTTTAGGGTTTAAGGTTGAATATAATCCCAGGCTCCATTTCACTTTGCATTTTCTTTTCCATTGGATTCTCCATTCTTGGGGGATTAGTAAACCACCCCTAAACCAGGGACAGATTTTCCATTTGACTCTCCATTGTGGTAGTTTCCATTTTCTTGTCCATCTCCCTAATTTGGGGAAACCCCGACATCCTATGGACAGGTCAATTGCCGAGAATTGGGGGATTCCAACATTAAGGGTACCAGTTTGGGGGTCTGGGGAATAAGGATTAAAGTACTTTGGGGTCTATGTTGGGGTCCATATTGGGGTCCCCTCTTTGGGAAACTACCATTTAGAGATGTAGAGCAGGGTATGTATATGCGTGGTTGTCAAAACTATGGTCCCTTTTTGGATCCCTTTTATAAAACGGCACCTAAGACAACCACCCATATGTATATGTACATGTCTACGGATATATAGGGGTATATAGGAATGTATAAGGAACTGCGTTAGAGCCTCGACAGCTCGCGACAATCTCCCCAGCACCGGCGGTGAGCGAGGAGTGGGGTGCACAGTGCCTGAGAGCCCAAGCAGGCTAAGCTTTTCACTTTGCAGGGCGTAAACCCTAAGCCCCTAAACCCTAAACTCTGCATTCCCCTATATGACTCCTGTAAACTCCCTTGGAAGGTACCCCAAATTTGGGAAACCTCCATATATCCACCCCAAACCCTTAACCGGAAAACTCTGAAGCCCTAAACCCTAGACCCCAACCCCCTAAACCCCTAAACCCTAAACAAGCCCTATGTTACCCCAATCAATACTCCAAACACGATTCTCAGTGCGCACCATCCATGTCAGAGCTTAAGCGCTGCGAAAGCCTGTCCACCAAGGTCACCACCTCGCAGGAAGGGATAAATTACAATGTTTACTATTACTACTCTTAGTACCATTATTACTAGTGTTACTACTATGACTATTTTTAGTTTACTATTAGGGATTATATTAGGAACTATATATGGGTTATATTGGGATAATGGAAAAAGAAAATGGAAGCTACTACTACTATTGGTACCATTAATACTAGTATGACTATCATTACTATTATGACTATTAGTACTGTTATTACTGTTATTACTCTTGCTATTATTCCTATTATTACAATTATTCCTATTAGTACTAGTATTGCTAGTAAAACTGTCATTACCATTAATATTACTTCTATTACTAGTATTGCTATTGGTACTACTAATGTTGCTATTATTATACTGCTATTATTACTTAGGTGGACCCCCCACCCAGTAGTAGTGACTATAAGGGATAATGGTTCTTATACTTATATTAGGGTCACTATTACAGAGTGGGGGGTCCATCCAAATGTTACTAGTATGACTGCTAGTGCGAGTATTACTATTACTGCTACTACTACCATGGTTCCAACTATTACTACAGGACCTTGTCCACCATCATGCAAGGGCTGTCGAAGGAGCGATAGGGTCGCCTGCCATGTTCCACGGCACAACAGCACCCCCATACCCAAAAGACTGGGTTGCTGTTAAGGAACTCAAATTAAGTTACTACATTGGGGAAACCGTATTATTTTACTGTATATACCCATTATGGTAACTGAATTTAAGTTCCTTAACAGCAACCCAAAAGAATGCGGCATAGATGATTCTACACCAGCCTCCATGCAGGAGCTCTTCCCACACTAGCACTGCGAGTACGACTGCTAGTACTAAGGTTTAG